TAATTGGGAGTAGGAAAGTCTTGATAAAAACAAAACACTATTGGCTGTTTTAAAGGGGAGGAGCTACACAATGCCCCACCCTCTCTTCATATTTCCAATGAGATCACGTCAAGCATCAAATAAAAATGCTAATTTCAAAGCACTTTCAAGGGACCTTCAATGCATTTAACTGTTCCATAACAACATCTTAACACAGATGATGGATCAGATCTCCAAAATAAACGCGACAGACAGCCTTTTTAAAGAAAGCAACGGTGCAAGTTGACCATGCACATATACATTTGATAGAGGCGATTAAGAAATATGCAGTCTAATGTTTGCACCCGCGTGGCGTCGGGGAACATTAAGCAAGCCCGTGTAGTCTTGCATGATAAAGTTTATTGTCTTCGCCTTGTAGATGAGACATTTGCTGCTCATCCCTCCCCCTCCTTTAAAGTGCTTTGCGACTCGTCCTTTATGAATAGCAATATATTTGCAATAATAGAGGCTGTGCGAAGAAATGAAGCGTAGTGGGGGAAGTGTGAGATATGGGCCAATACTGCTAAACACAACAGCAGTTCTCCAGTGCGCACACATTCAGGCATCGCAACCAACTCAAGGACATATAGAGCAATCGCACGGCCACGCTGCTCTATTACAGTCATTACTGTAACAGCGCTGGAAAACTGTCATTTGGGATGTCAGTCATCTGGAATGTGATTTGGCTCTGGTAATTTGTACTGACGTTTTCACACGCTGGGGTTTCAGAGGTGATCTCGTCTCAAACTGAGCTCGGGTTTGCAATCAAACGTCAGGAGGCTTTGAGATTAACTTTGCATCAAGTTCTAGTCAACGTGATAATGCTCTGAGTGTATTTCTCTGTACATCTCCAGGAAGACAACATTGATATAAAACCTAAATTGAGACGGAGGTAGGGGTTTTAACCAAAAATAATGTTAACACAGCAAAAAAGGCTTTTCCCACTTAGAGTTTTTGACTTGTTTCTAGTCGACACTTCTAACAATTCCTAAGAAGTAAGGCTGCACAATATGGGAAAAATCTGACATTGCGATAATTTGTATTTCTGCACTATATATTGCGATCTGAATACAATTTCACCAGATAACTTAAACAGCTTTACTTGGAAAGAAGTCTATATTCTAGATTGATTGAGGTCATTTTGAAGAGGAGTGTGTCACCAGCGATCTAGCTACTGCAGATCACTGAAGAACTACAACTCTGCCACCAAATGGACTACAAATCACAGCATGCACCGCGCGCACACACCATTAATCCCCAGCATTGGTTGATTAATGAATGGATAGATGGATGGATGAATGCATGGATGGATGATTGGATGGATGGATTGGTTTATTGATGTTGGGATAGATGGATGGATGGATTGGTTGTTTTATTGATGATTGAATGCATGTATGGAGGGTTGGATAGATTAGTTGATGGATGGATGGATGAATTGGTTTGTTGATGGCTGGATGGATGGATGGATGGATTGGTTTATTGATGGATGGATGGATGGATGGATGGATGAATGGATGGATAAATGTATGGATAGTTGGATGAATGGATGATTGGAGGGATTTATGGAACTACAACTCTGCCACCAAATGGACTACAAATCACAGCATGCACCGCACACATAAACCATTAATCCCCAGCATTGGTTGATTAATGGTTGGGTGGATGGATGGATGGATGATTAAAAGGATGGATTGGTTTATTGATGGTTGAATGAATTTATGGATGCTTGGATGGATTAGTTGATGGATGGATGGATGGATGGATGGATGGATGGATGGATAGATGGATGGATTGGTTTATAGGTGGTTGAGGGAATGTATGGATGGATGTATGGAGTGGTTTATTGATGGTTGAATGAATGGATGGATGTATGGATGAATGGATTAGTTTATTGATGGTTGAATGAATGTATGGATGGATGTATAGATGGATGTATGGATAGATGGATGGATGGACTGGTTTATTGATGGTTAGTTGGATGGATGGATGGATGGATGTATGGATGGATGGATGGATGGACTGGTTTATTGATGGTTAGTTGGATGGATGGATGGATGGATGGATGGATGGATGGATTGCTGGATGGATTGCTGGATGGATGGATTGGTTGATTGATAGATTAATGGATGGATGGATGGGTTGATTGGTTAATTGATGGATGGATTGAATAATGAATTGATTAATGAATTAATTGATGGATGTATGTATAAAGGAAAAGAATAAAGTAAAACAAAAATGAGTGAAAACCAGCAATTGTTTTAAGGAGGAAAAAGTACAAATGAATATATACATATATAGGTTTCCACCCAGAGAGAGACAGAGAGAGAGAGAGAGAGAGAGAGAGAGAGAGAGAGAGAGGGAGGGAGAGACTGACCCTGGCATTCATCTGAATCCTCCTTACAGGATTATTCTGATCTGTGGGCTAAGATGTCAGCAAGTCTCTGGCTCTCACACTATTTCTCGACACCCTCCCGGCTCCAGCCGAGCCCCGTTTGTGAGAAATAACAACACTGACAGCTATATTTAGCCGAAGCCCTCTGGATCTCCCCCATTAGCCACCTCTCAGTCAGTGAGCTCCAGCATCTCCTCGCAGATCACACACACGTCGCACACCTGAGAGCCTCACAGGAGCAGGTACAGTCTGCGCTATTACCAGCAGATGCGATTCTCACACTCACACGCACGCACGCACACACGCGCACACACACACACACACACACACACACACACACACACACACACACACACACACACACACACACACACACACACACACACACACACACACACACACACACACACACACACACACACACACACACACACACACACAATTCTGCCAGGATTTGGGGTTTGTCATTTGCAAGTGTCATCACTCCAGGGATTTGTGGAGCGGCTAAGAATCAAGCATCATTTATGCAACAAATATGCATTTTGAAGCATGAGATGGGAACAAGTGATGAAAACCCTAACCCCTAATTTCAAATAAAACCCATTCACATTAATTTCCATTCACAAAAAAACGTTTTTACTCTCGCCGTTTTTGACTTGTGCAAAAAAAAGGGTTCATGAAAATAATAAGAGGGAAACGCAATTGCTGAATAAACTTATTATGCTTGCCTTGTTTGCTGATGATGGATGGATGGATGGATGGATAGGAGGGTTTTTTTGAGCTGTTTTTACTTTTTTACTGTTTTGAGTCATTTTTGACTTGTGCAAAAAAAGGTTCATAAAAATAACAGTGAACATACCTCTATGCAACTCCTTGGTATTACACTTGCCATGTTTACTGTTGGTTACTAGGTTACCAATACTACAGTCAGCCACTCTACTTGATGGAAATGGATGAAAATTTTGGATTTTTTTCTTTCTTTTTTGCAATTTCTGTAAAAGTCGCTTCACCTTACTTTGAAAACCTTATTTAAAATGATAAAAACAGTTTTGAGTGGATGGATGAATGGATGGATTGGTCGACAGATAAATTGATTGATGGATTAATGGATGAATTAATGGATGGATTAATTGTTGGATGGATGGATGGATGAATGGATGGATGGATGGATGATAGATGGATGAATGGATGGATGGATGTATTGGTCAATTGATTGATGGACGGATAGATGGATGGATGGATGGATGGATAAATGGATAAATGACTTTTGTGAAAAAGGGTTCATGAAAATAATGAGAGATGGAAATGCATTTGCCAAATAAACTCTCACGTAGCAAACATACATCCATGCAGCTCAAGTTATTATGCTTGCCATGTTTTACTGTTGGTTACTAGGTTACCAATACTACAGTCAGTCACTCTAAAAACTTGATGGAAAGGTTTTTTTTTGTTTTTTTTTAAAGATTCACTTCCTGTTGCAATGGAAACCTGATTTAAATTGATAGAATTGATTGATGGATTAATTGATGGATGGATGAATTGGTCGACTGATTGATTGATTGATTGATTGATTGATTGATTGATTGATTGATTGATTGACTCATGGATTGGTCAATTGATTGATGGATGTATGGATAGATTGATTGATGGATTAATTGATGGATGGATGGATGGATGGATGGATGGATGGATGGATAGATGGATTGATGGACTGGATGGGTGGATGGATAGAAGGATTACTGGATAGATGGATAGATGGTGATTGATGGATGGATTAATGGATGGATTAATTGATGGATGATGGGTTAACTGATGGATGGATGGATGGATGGATGGATGGATGGATGGATGGATGGATGGATGGATAGATGGATTGATGGACTGGATGGGTGGATGGATAGAAGGATTACTGGATAGATGGATAGATGGTAATTGATGGATGGATTAATTGATGGATTAATTGATGGATGGGTTAACTGATGGATGGATGGATGGATGGATGGATGAATTGATTGGTTGATTAATTGATAGATGGTTGACAAGATGGATGAATGTTGGCTTATGCAAAAAAGAGTAAAAAAAAAAATAAGAGATGGAAACGCATTTGCTGAATAAACTCTGACGTAGCGAACATACATCTATGCAACTCCTTGTTATTATGATTGCCATCTTTACTGTTGGTTAATAGGTTACAAATACTACAATCAGCCACTCTAACAACTTAATTGAAATAGATCAAAATTTGGGCTTCATGTTAGGATGGAAACTTGATTTAAAATGAAAAACAGCAGCTGAGAGCCTCACAGGAGCAGGTAGAGTCTGCGCTATTACCAGCAGCTGTGACACACACACATAGACACACACTATTCTGCCAGGATTTGGGGTTTGTCATTTGCAAGTGTCATCACTCCAGGGATTTGCGCAGCGGCAAAGAATCAAGGAACATTTCTGGAGAATCTCGGCTTGATTTCCCTTTTAAAAAGTTACTTGCAGATTATCCTTACCTCGCCATTTCTAACTCTGCCGATCGTCTCTTTAGAAAGCAACCGAATATCAGAGCGCGCTCATAGAGACATGAGAAAGATCTTACCGTCTTTGCCCACCACGAAATCCAGGTGGCTGTATGTGTAGGAGACGCCGGTCTTGGTCTCCACCTGCGGTCTCTTGAGGGTGGAGTAAATCTTTCCCGGACTGTTGTCTTCCGTCTGACGGAGCTTCCTCAAGCCGCAGCCCATTTCTGTCCAGTGAGTGTACACTTAAGCCTGGTATGAAAAAGACATAGTCAGATGATGTCTTAAACTTGAAACAGAATTGCTGCAGGCTTATTTAAAGGTTCAATGGAATCACAAAAATTAAACTACAATAAAAACGAAAAAATAAAGCCTCCAAAAAAATTACTGACAGTAAATTACTAATAAAAATATGAATAAACGAAGTATGTTGTTAACTGAAGATTACTCATAGGTTAATAAGTTCCTTTTTTATTATTATTAATGTCATCTTTATTATAAGTATTTATTATTTAATAGAGCATGTACTGTGGTCAACAGTACTTTTAGCCACTGTACACACAATATGCAAGGCTTAGTGTTTAATATGGATGAGATACAAGCAGTGCAACTTCCAGACAGAACCAGCTCACCGGTACACTAGAATATCAATGTCCTTAAACCAAAAGACACGACTACAAAACCCACAAAACTCCCATTTTAATTTCCCTGACTGTCTTTATTCTCATTTTGTCTACATCTATTCATGTTGCCTTCATTCAGGTGCTCCCCATGAGGAAATTCATCTGTCCATTTTCCCACATATCACCTTAAATTACTGCCATGCGCACAAAAACAATTACAAAAAAAAGTGTTTTTCAAGTGAACAGACGTCACGATGAGGGGAAAATGGACAGTCTTAACTTCTGTTTCATGCTGAATTGAAAAACCTGCCATTAAAGGGATAGTTCACAGAGGAATTATAATTCTGTCATCATTTACTCAGCCTTCACTTGTCACAAATGTATTTGAGTTCCTTACTTCTTTTCAACAACCACAACGACAAACAGATGTGTAATGTGAGGGAAGCTGACAACCTGCATGTGGATCTGCACATCTGATTTAATATGAGAATGGTCAGGCAAGCAATGGCCAACACAGAAACAAACAGATGTATACAGGCAAACCAGAGTTGTGATTAATAAACAGGTGAATGGCAGCAGACAGGAATAAACAATAAAACAAGGCAAGGGTCTAACACGGCAAAGCAAGGCAAAGGCAAATGCGTTGTAATGTCACAAATACAGTAAACAAGACTCAGCACTGATGTGTGTGTGTGCGCGCTGTAAAAATAGTCCTTGGAATCAGACCTTGACAATCCTCCTGCAGTGTGTGCATGTGCAATCAGTGAAATACGGAACAGGTGTGTGAGAGTGCATGACTGGAACTGTAGTCCATATGATGACGGATTTGTAATTCTGTAGCGATCGGCAAGGATTAGACCGCTGATGATTGTGACAAGATGTTTTTTAAAATGTTAGAAACAGGAGGTAAACTATAGACCCTTTTCACATTTCTCTGTTACTCAGTAGCAGAAGTCATCATAGTTGCGAAGTGATGGGAGAGTAGAACGAATATATTTTCATACAATCCTATTTGCTGAAATAATGACAGAAAAATCCCCACCAGGCACACAACATCATAAGACGTTCATATTAGCTTAGATTTAGGTTGTGACGTCAGAAGACCAAAGTTCAATGTCTAGCCAGCATCTAAGCACAACTATATTTTGACGTCCAAGAACGACCATCAAATGACATTGATATTTGGTTGATTTTTGGTTGTGTTGGAAAGTGACCAATATCCAACGTTGATCCAACATCTTAAAATAACGACATATTGATGTATGTTCTGCTGTACCGCGGGAGCTGTGGGACCACGGTAATTTATTTTTTTTTTGCTCTGTTAAAAATGATTTGGAAAATATTTTAAAAAGCCCAAAAATTCAAAAGGGGGCTAATAATTCTGACTTCAACTGTAACGGACTTCAGTCATTTTTATCGCAAAAAAAAGGGAAGGAAGCAATTTACACAACTATAAGAGCAACAATGAATAAGTGCAGTAGGCGAGTTAGAGGTGTATAAAGTCTAAGAAGCTAAGCATTAGTAATGTAAGTTTTATATACAAATGCCGTTCTGATGCAGTTAGGGAGTTCATTCCAACAACTGGGCAGATTGAACACGAGAGTTCGAGAGGGTGATTTCTTCCCTCTTAGGGATGGAACCACGAGGCAACTTTAATCTCTCACAGAAGTGAGAGCAGATAAGAAGCCAGAGGGCAAACCCAGAAGTCGCTTTGTAAGCAAACATCTGAGCTTTGAATTTGATGCGAGCAGCAACTGGCAGCCAGTGCAAACGGATGAGTAGCGGAGTGACATGTGCTCTTTTAGGTTTATTAAAGAGCACTCGTGCTGCTGCGTTCTGAAGCAGCTGAAGAGGTTTGATAGAGCTAGCTGGAAGCCCGGCTAGTAGAGAGTTACTTACTTACACGCTGTTGGTCTTGTTGCTAAAGTGCTTCTCCTGCCAACTAAACCTTCTGTGCTCAATATAGTCTTTACCTTGCGTTTGGACACGCCTCGAGAGTAAAAACACCCGAAACTGCAGCGAGGGGCGCGAAACCGTCCACGCTCGACACACAAGCTCTTACAGTAACCAAGGAAACAGTGGTAAACTTTTCTAGTACCATACACAGAGCTGAAAACAAGTTTAAATGTCCTACAACCTTACACAAACAGCAGAAAACAAGTCTAAGGGTGCTTTCACACCTACACTTTTGTTGCGGAACGTGTCTCATTTGCTCAGTTAGCGCGATTCGTTAGGCATATGTGAACAGGGCAATCGCACTCTGTTCCGCGCCAAAGTAATCGCTCCGAGATCGCTTGAATGAAATGGTCTCGGCTCGATTGAAACGAACCCTGGAACGGTTCGATTGCAGTGAGAAAGTGATCCGATCCGAGCGCGGTTATATCACAGTGTTTTATGGATATGTACAGGTAATAGGCATACGGCTATATGAAGAGAGAATTATGAGTATGGCGGGAAGTTTCGCGAGTCTCCGGATGCCCTCAAACGAGTGATGATCTCCCGGTAATCAAGCGTCTCCCTCCCGGTCCTCAAATAGGCATCGTCGCGCACCCTTCTCACCCCTCCCCACCGCATCTCTCCTCAGAAACGTCGCGCATGCGCACCCTGTCAATCACCACCAAACCACCACCTCTCCTGACAGCTTAGCGGGATGCTGCAAAATAAACCCTGACACTCTGACCAATGTGAGGAGAGTTTACTCGCACGTGACTCGTTTTAGCTCTTTTGGTTCGATTAGAAACTTTGCAGTGTGAAAGCCAACCGCTCCAAGAGCAAAGAGCAACAATGTAACAATTGTAATCTCTGTTTTGGAACAACTGAATCGATTCACAGGTGTGAAAGCACCCTAAGTGTCCTCGAACCATACACAACAACTGAAAACACGTGTAAATGTTTATGCTGTTGGTCTCGTTGCTAAAGTGCTTCTAAAGTGCATGTTCCAGCCAAATCCATATAAATGTTCATACAATTTTTTAAAAATCTAAATATTAAAAACGTCCAGGGATTTATGACCATTAAACGCGTCATAACAGTCTTGTGAAAAGGGTCTATTGACTTCCAGCCACCTGATTTCACCAAGTACGACATGTTCCAGGATTAACATCTATGTTGATCCAGGAACAACATACCAATCAGCCAACCACAATTGAGTGATATGTTTCTACATGATTGTTATCCAACTATTTTTTCTCCTCGATTTGGAAATAATCTACAGGTTGGGTTTAGGGGTAGGGAATAGATATGGATTACATTTTCTAACAAATTCGCTAGATGTAATCCAAGATCGCATCGTACTTGGCAAAATCATGACGTGCCATTGACTTCCATAGTATTCTTTTTTTTTTTCCTATTGTGGAAGCCGATGGTTTTCCACTCCCTTTCACTCAGGTACCACCTCATCAACAAAGCAGAAAAAGACCCAATTAAGGGTACACAAGATTACTAAATCAACTGCTAAATAAATAAATAAATAAATAAATAAGAGGCATAAATGGGCTTCAGCTCATCACGGGAGCCCAATCTCTCAACTGGCAGGCAGGGAATTAACACGTCCAGCCACGGAAGAGGCCAAAAGTGCTCTCTGTTCATCAGCCAAAGCGCCTTCTTTTCCAAATCTGAAGTGACAGGCGCAGACAGTTGCGAGCAGGTAATATCCCATTGTGACCAGCTGATTAAACCTAGGGTGGGCCATTGATAAGAATACTCTCTATTATGTTCCTGTCTAATTACAGTGGCCGGACGAATAATCTGAGAGGCGGCGACGGCCGAGGGTTCTAGAGAATACACGGTTAATGAGGTGAGCCGCTCGAATGAAAAGGTGAGAATCAATCACCGAAAATCAAGGAGCAGATTGTTCATTAGGAGTCAGAATAATGCACAGCATGCCGGCAACTCCAGCGGCACAGCGGCTTTAATTAGGAGCCAGACGAGAGGCTATGCAGATTTATGAACACTGTCATAGGAATCACTGTTTCCAGTGACATGGACATGAATGGATGCGTTTGGATATCCATGGCTGAATCCAATCGGGGAAATGGGATCTAGGATACAAGAGTCGTACATCAGCTATTGGATTTTTTTTTTTTCTATCTAATCGATTGGCTGAAGAGGAGGGAGCATTTTTAACTTTGAGAGGAAGAATGAGATAGGTGCACAGCTGATATTACATGTACATTAGGGATGCTCATTTCGGTTAATTTTGCTAACCGACAACCGCCGCTCATTAATCGGTTATTAACGGTTAACTGGTCAGATTACTATTAATTTTATATTAAACAAACTGACGTGTCTATTTTGTGTCCGACACATTAAATATTGCATTTTAAAATAGCCTACTGATTTATTTTTATATGCTAGCATTTAAATAATAGAACAAGACAACAGAGCATTTTCACGCACCTGCAGTGTTTAGCACAGAAGAACAGAATAAACTAAATAAAATGAATAAAATAAATAGGACTGCCCTAAATTATTTACACTTAAATAATTAATTTTTATTGCAAAACGAAAATATTGACTGATTATTTTTAATAACCGGCATAGGCTGCTTTTTTTTCCAATCATATGTTTTTTTCTTCCGTCAAATAAAATAGCAGACTTCCTCAAATCGCTCGCTCCATGGAAAATATG